TCTCAAAAATGCGGGAAGACGTCGCAGGTTTGCAACAGCCCAAAAACCCACGTTCCTCTTTCCCCTCGTCCTTCTCCTCCCCTCCCCCCGCTTTTCTCTCCGTTCTGCCGATTTCGACATGAAGCCAACCGGGATACATACCAGCTTTTGCATGATACAGCGCATGGAACGTAGAACAGATTCCATGAAGATTCCGGTTTGTCAGTTACTTTAAATCTGAGGTTATGGGTTTGATATATCCGCAAAATCTTCCTAGGTGAGCACGGGATGCGAAAAACCTAGAGATAGCAATTACGCTGAAGCAGAAGAAGCGGATTCGTGAGCACTTATTTGACCGTGAACAGAAATGAGTGTAGCGTTGACCGGCGTGTTGCATCCGTTTTTTTTTTTTTTTGAATCGAGGTCATGCTTTATGCAACAGACTGGCTGTAGTGAGGGATCAGCTGATGTCATCGTAATCATCAGTGTCGGAGAACAATTGCTCCTCATTTTTGTTCGACTCCTCTGCGTCACCTTCTCCTTCTATAATCGGCAGGCTGTTGTCCTCTTCCTCCTGCAACAGAACAGGATACTGAGTGTTAGTTGTAAAGGCGTTGCTGAAACAATGAGTTTTGAGTGAATTGCAACGAGCGATGGAATGCCGTCTTCTCCAGTTTTGCCAATAGACGTTTAAATAATTTCCAGATGAAAGCTAAGCCCGCTTTCGCTGCTCAAGCATCTAGAACTGTTGGACTGACCTGATTGAGTTTCTTAAACTCTGCCAACTGATGGAGCACAAATTCCAAAACCTTCTTCGGCCCCTTGTCGTTCATCGGCAAACTCTTTGTGATATCATGAATATCGCTGGCTTCTTTCAAAAAGTACTCCAGATCATTGTCTTCACCTGCAAAAACCCCCTTTGGTTCTAAAGTAACTGTCAGGCAAACGCTGTTTTAGTGATATTTGGGATCCGATATTCCAGATCCATCCTCGGTAGTTCAGACCTGGTCCCTAAATTCTAACAACGATTTAATTCGATGTTAAACTAGCACTGCTGTACTGGAAGATATGGTTCCAAGCCTGCTTTATTTTTTCTTTTCATAACAAAGTCAGCAATAGATTTAAAGACAGTGCTAGCCACAAAACTGTTCACAGCGGTGGGTAGTACTAGAACGGTGAATTACTGGAATTGTCGGTTTTGTACGGCCAAAAATCAACTGCATCTGTGGGGAGGAGTTGCAGCGTAACTTGCATTTATTGGCTAGCTGAGCGAGCCGAACTTCCGCCGACGAGAACATTTCATCCAAATCGAATAACTCGAGCTGAGGCGGTGGCAGTTCTCGGAAACTTGGAGGAAACACCTGGAATTGATAATGGAACTCGCACATGAGAATTTCTAATAAGCGGACAGGCAAGGAAGAAAGACATTCCCGGGAGTCGGCCACACTGCGCTTTTTTGGGATATTGCTGGTGCACTTGCCAAAGCTTACAGAATTTTCCAACTTCTTGATCTATTCACTGTTTGAGAAGCGCTAACTTTTGAATAAATGATTTGTTCATTTCTGAAGTACGCATCTATGCTTGTAAATGTGCATGAGCACTGAGCCCAAAAAGGTTCTGAAGCTGATTCAGGCCATTAACTTTACTCTGTACTGAGGGCTATAGCCCCATAATTTTGGCTTTTAATTCGCTTCATTCCCAAAACATAAAATTAAGAAAAAAAAATGTAAACTTAAAGTGGATGATTACAGCGAAAAAAGCTTTAAAAGCTGCTTTTTATTCTTTCGCATTGCTCAACAAACGAAATTTTGTGTTTTCAGATATATAGCTGTTTTGTCGTTTTGAATTCTGTTCCAAAGTAATAGGTTTTGGCACGATTAAAATTGGCGACTAATTTAAATTTGTGACCCCTGTGGATGCATTTTGGACACATGCACACATACATATACAGAAATACACACATATACGTAATATACACATACATACATACGTATGTGCGTGCATACATGCATACAGAGATCTAGTTTCGGAGTAATCTGAAAATTGAGAGGCATTCCTTGCTTGGCGTTATTCAGTCAAAAAAGCATTCATTCAGAGTAATCCACCCCTGTCCTACACGAGTTTTACCAGTCATTTTACTGTTTTAGTTTATTGTCCCTTGTTTCAACGTTTCCTCTCTCAATGCACCCCCAGTTAATCTTTACACTTCTCTATGCTTCCTACCCCCGATTCAGCTCGTCATTTTACAGAAAAGGTTTCATCGCTCCATATCTTAATTTGCCGCGTCCTTTTTTACACCACTGTGACGACCCCAGCACAACTGCATGCAAAAGAGGTCGAGTACTCCTCATTTTCATTTAGAGATTCTCACTAAAGAAGCTGTATCGATCATTAAAGTTTTAAGCAAATTATTAAAAATAGGAAGTACAGCAGGTTGCAGTGGGGGTTGCGGTACTTCGAACTGCGGTACTATCAGCGATAGCGGCTCGTGTTTCAAACCAATCTGATCAAATGCCCTGGAAAACAATGATCATGAAAACAGCGGTGTGCAGCTGAACTCAAGGCACGTTCGTGTCTGTGAAGTGTTCTTTCAAGTGCTTTGAACTAAAAAAAAAAATGATATTCCTAGCTCTACTGGCGTTGTGCGACCTAAGATGCTAAGTGATTGTTTTCGCTGAATCTCAAGCTCAGGCTGCAACACACCAGGCTTGCCGGCGCGATTGTGCGTGTTTGTGTTAAACTTTCATCAATGAGAGTGTTAAGAGCAGGCGTGATCCCCGCGTTGTAGCATAATACGTCGGCTCATGTTATGGCCTTTTTCTGCACACAGAAGGAAAAAGGCGTCGGCTGGGATGATAGTTTTTGCATCATAGGTCCACGTGAACCTCCACTGTGAATGATTTTTCAGTTTCGCATGAAACCCAGCGCCTTTTCCGGTGAGCGATTTGGCCCTCAAGTCGAATTAAGATCACACAAGAGTATAGAATACCTCTGCAAAGTTTCAGCCCTCTAATCTTATCTGTTTGTCGAGATCGTTTTCCTGTTAAAAAATTTGTATATTTTTTGAGGCGTCCATACGCTGGAGCTAGGCATAATACTAAAACTGGAAAGTCGCACCTGAGTTGGACACGCAATCCCGAAATTTCTGCTTTCTGGCTTTTCTGGCCCTTCAGTTGAAAGTATGTGACGAAAAGAGCGGATACGCAGACACATACACACAACGTCTTGCCAACATGCGTTTTTTGCACCTATGCAATGCAAAAACGCATACTGCCGAGAGGTTGTCTGTGTGTGTGTATTTGTGTGTGTATGAGTGTTTGTGTGTGCATCTGTAGCGAGTTTTCATGTCGAGATCCACAAAAGCTACAAGGCTGAAACTTTGGTAACTTAACCTACACATACGTGCGGTCTCCTATCCTCGAAATGGATGCTCACTTATGCATGAGTACGTGAAAGTTTTTTTGGTGGGAAAGCGTTTTCGGGAACGGCGCAAGCTAGGGGGCTGAAATTTCACTGAGATGCTCCTTGGCCATGTCTGACCCAAAGATTTCAAAGTCAGCCTTCACACAACCCTAGGTCTCATGTATGCACACATCAAAGTTTAAACTGGCATTGTGGCAACTCCAGATTTAAACTGAACAAGAAGTTGTGACGAACTGTAGTTTTGCAGCGTTACTTGTCATCCCTGTTGTGCTCGTCGAAGTAAGTTGAGCTTTCCAGCCCCTCTGCATTCACGTACTGATACGTGAAAATTTCATGGAGGCACTTTTACAACTTCAGAACTGAAGCAGCTAGAAGAATGAAACTTTCTAAGCATAAATGACAGTGGTGTTTGATCAAATAACGTAAAAACAACTTTCACGTCCCTTTCATGTCTCACGTACGACCGCGTGAAATTTGACGTAACTCCGCAACCAAAGCTGGAGAGCTGGAACTTTCTAAACATTGCCAAGGACCGTGTTTGAGCGAGCACGCGCGAAGGCAACATTGGCGTTGCCGCTCACGTACGAACACGTGAAATTTGGCGCAACTCTAGAGCGCCGGATTTTTTGGGCATTGATTGGGAGTCATTGAAATAATTTCTAACAATTGCGTTGGCCAGTCTCAATTCTTTTAGCTAGAAGCATCTGCCGGAAAAGACATGCCATCAGCAACAAAAACCTGTGGGGAACAGTACAAAAAACGCATCTTCGCACCGGCAGTCGGTGCGTTGTCGACTAAATTACATTTGCATAGTATGCAACCCGGGTTGGGAAGCACCAGGCTTGCCAGTGCGATCATGCATTTTTGCACTAAAGTTGCAGATCGCTGATAGCAGGAGTGATTGCGCTGTAGCCTATCACTTGTGCTCATGTTGGCGGTGCTCTGGCCTCTTCCGGCGTGCAGTAGGAAGGGCCTCGGTTGGGATGAAGGTGCTGCATTATAGGGCAGCGCGAATCTGCATCAGTTTTTTGCATGAAGCTCGGTCGTTTTTATACGTTTTTGCCTATATGCAAACTGTAAAAACGCATATTGAGATGACCCTGTCTGTGTGTATGTGTGTGTGTGTGTGTGTGTGTGTGTTCGTCTGTT